GTGCAAAACCACTACACTACGGGAAACGGGCAAAATCAGCTCTCAACGCAAGACGCGCGCGCCTATTCCACCAGCCTGCTCAAATGCAAGCTTTTTCAAATTCTGGAGCACCGGGTTTGTTTTTGGACCTGGAGAGATGGAGTGAGACATTTTGAATGGATTAGGCAAAAGTTCCCCGTTTCATGGATTTGGTGGACAGTAAAATGGCTGTAGGCACAGAACCAATGTAATGATACTTATACTTAGAAACAGTCCTGCGATGGGTTAGGGTTAGTTAGCATTGTTTTATGGCCATTTGTCTTGAAACAAATCTACAGTTTTCATTAAAGTTATCACGTTCGCTTCACACGCGAAGGCCAGCCGCGGATAGGTGTAGAAGATTTCTTTGACGAGCAGGAGCGTCTCCCAGAGGAGGCGGTTCGATTCCAACATTACCCAAACAAACGAAACCCTTATTTGGTTTAGAATATTTTTCTACAGCATGTGTAGATGATCCGAAACAATTCCTTTTAACTATTTTAAACATTTTAAGTGAACTTTAATCACTTTTTGGAAAAATGTGGAAATATGATATGATAATAATATGATAACAAGACCTTGTTATTTGAAGGATAGATACTAATTCTACTTTTACTTACTGTTTCTTGAAAAGTTTGAATTGAACTTAATAATAAAAACAAAAATAATCAAACGATATTTATATAAATATATAAATTATGCATGAAACACCACAAAGTGCTTCACAAAGCAAATAATCCAGAACCAAGTTGCTGCCCTTTTAATGAAAGTGTCAGAATCAGCAATCTGCTCAGGTAAATTGGTGCATTACAATTAAGGATAGTATAATATAGATAAAAAAAATCTTAATAGTTAATAATTATGCAAATAAGATACTAATCTCCAAATATGATGCAACTGTTTTATGCATGATGGGCCTTTATTAGGGAAGCATACACCATATGAATATAAATGTTTGTTATTATTATTCAATTTTCCATCACTATTTCTAACCCTGTCAAGTAAAGAAAGTCACAGTCATGTTTTCACAATATTTTATTGTACATAAACACGGCTGAATAATTAAACACACAAAATCAAAGCTGACATTGAAGATAAATAAAGACAATATGTAAACAAAGGAACAATAAAAATGTACAGAATATAATCAGTAAATAGTGTAAACATATATACAATATTATACAATAATAGTCCTCCTTAACTCCTCTTTTCTGCCACCCATCGGTCCTTTTCTGCCTCAAAAAAGTCTGACTGCTGGAACTCCATCCAGGTCATCTCCTTGGCCATGCCCTTGTCCTTGTAAAGGGAGAAGACTCTGGAGGGGCAATAGATGTATTTCCCTGGAATGCCAGGGAAACAGGCGTGGACATGAGGGCTGCCAGGACCCTGTTTTAGTGGCTGGTGGCAGAATCTGCAAAGACGACCTGTTGGAAGCTGCACTGGAGACTTCCTCTTTGCCCTCTCCTCTGCCACCTTCTTCCACACTGTACCCCTTTTCTTTGCAGCCTCAAGCTCCCGGTCAAAAAATGGAGAGGCAGCAAAGTCCTCAAATGACATCCTGGGGTCTTTGATTCCTTCATCTCCATACATTTTGAAGACCCGTGTGGAGCAGTAAAAGTACTTCACCTCAGCGGACTGGAAAAAAAAGTGAACAGAAGATCCATCGCCAAGGTACCTGGACTTTGGTTGACCACAGGATAAACAGTTTCTGGTCCTCTTTATCTTCTTCTGTTGTTGTTGCTGCTGTTGTTTTTCCAAGATCTCTGTCACGATCTTCTCCACTGTGGCGCGGCTCAGTGACTCCTCCGGGGGGGGGAGCCACAGCTGGAGGGTTGACGGTCGCAGGAGGCAGGGTTGTGACCGGTACACAGACTGTTTGGCTGCCTGTGGTCAAACTCTGCCACAGCTGCTGAGTCTCCAAAACCTTCTCTTTGCTGGTATTAAGAGAGGAGCTGGTGTTCTTCAGCTTGGCCAGATGCTTTACATATCTGGAGATATGCTGGCATGTGGTAGGATGAAGGAGGCTGTTGGGGTCAGTGCACGACCTCTGCACCATGGCAGCATATTCTGCATCAACCCTCTTCAGGATATCTTTGGCTCCATGGTGTTTAGCCAGAAGCTCATCGATGGCTGCTCTCATGGCTGCCGTCCACCGCCCGTGGTCCAGGACTTGAACAAGGCCTCCTGTCTTAATGGGTCCAGTGCGGGCGGCTCGAGGAGAGGAGGATATGGGCAGTGGGGCTACCTCTGGCAAGTCTAAGGAATAAAGCATATGTTTATTATATTTATATTTTTTTTATTATTACAAGCTAATTGTATATAGTAGCCATGTGTGAAGCTGTTTTAAACATGAAATGAACAGTTAACTGTTGAGGAATGGTAGGTGGGTAACCTGTATCCATCAAAGAGTGAGTCTCTTCTTTGGCTGTGGCAGATGCTGGTATCAGTGGCTGGAAAGAGAGGATCGGCACTGCTCCCACTGGGTCGTCCTGGGCTGTGCCATCACTGGTCTCCTGAAATACAGCATCAAATATAATGATTGAGTCAGTCAGTCAGTCAGTCTGTCAGTGGGTTGGAAATGAACAGTGTGTGATTCATCTGGATTACCTGAGAGTCTGTGCCCGCTACAGCAGCAGAGGTGTTGTGCTGTGTCTTGTGTTTGTCCCAGTTTAAAACAACAGGACAACAGCCTGGCTCCACATACTGTAGACCAAATCTCTCCCCTGTGTCCCTGTTCGATATGTGCAGGGTTGGGTATTTGGGCACCCCTGTCACCCTTTGACAGACTGCGTTCAGTTCCCAAATGAGCACAGGGTCGAACACAGCTGGCAGCTCGACATCAGGCTGCTTCAGGTCCACCAGCCTCTGAAAGTTCCAGCGCACCACTCCAGTCATTGCCTGGGCCTGGAAGAGCTCATTGGACACCCGGTTGCCTGTCACCCACTGGGCCTGGTGACAGTGGAAGCCCTCCTGCTGAGATGTGCCTCTGACAGGGATCCAAATAGGTACAGCCGCTCCTTCGCCCTTGGTGTAATTAAGCTGCAAGGTGCCACCGTACCTGTAGAGGATCCCCTCCCCCACCTCAGGGTCACTCAAGCAGCCTCTCAAGATGTGGATCCGCTGAATCCTCCACACCTTAAGCATGGAGGCCTTAAACAGGAGCACATCATTCACGTCCTTAGCCAGGTGGAAATGATGCAGGACGTCTTCCACTCTCTGCAGCAGTTCTCTGGGCTGTGGCACCTTTGTCCTGCAGTGATCTCTCATGTGGTGCTTGGTCGGATTAGCAGGAGAGATTCCGCAGAAGGTGTAAGCGTCCTTCAGCCTCTGGAGATCCCCCTGGTCCACAATGAGAAAGGCTGCAGAGAGAAACTGGCAGAAAGAGCTGTACAGAGGATGATGCTCTGAGACACACTCTCTGGTAAACCGATGCATACAATGAAACAAGTCTAACTTGATACTAATGTCTTGGTTAAACTTGCTCCTTGCAGCACTTGTGTTCGCTAAGTTTCCAGAGGTGGCCTCTGTGATAATATCCTCTGTGGTCTTCCAGCAGTCCCATGACAGGTGCTCCTGAGCTCTGGTGTCCAGGACCTTGAAGGCAGCACAGCAGTCCCTAAAACATTAAAAAGACATTTCATTACAGTATGCACAATAGTTAAAAAATAATATCTTTCTATTCTATTTTAGAATTCTATTTCTTTATATCTGTATTTCAGATTAGTCAGATTACACACTAAACTGTGAAAAATGGAATAAATGGATGAACGTATGTGTAAGTGTAGTTCATTTTTAAATATAAACACTTTATACCTGTCCACCCAGTGGCAGCTTGCCTTCTCCACTCCAGCCGCAGTGTAGCGTTGAGCCAGACCGTCATACACCGGATAAAGGGAACGATCACTCTCTGACTGCAGCATCACCCAGCTCAGGATCATCCAGTTCTCGTTCATTATGGCGTAGGAAGACATGGTGCCAGACGACAGCACGACCTTCCTTGCCACTTTCCGAGTGTGATCCGACCTCAGTGCCTGTCCAAAGGTCCCCTGTAGCAGTAGTGTGAGGAGCTGCTCCTGCCTCTGATACTCCTGGACTAGGCAGTTGACCAGGTAGTGTGAAGAAAGAGACACTCCCTGCCAGCCATCAGCATCTGAATACCCCCCGAATGAAGCTGGAGTGTCTGCCTGTCTGAGGTGCCCAGTGATGGTTCTCTGGCCGTAGACTCCTTCCTCAGCATCCCTGATGTTCTGCACACTCAGCAGGTAGGCCAGGTGAGCTCTCTCATATTTAAGGTGGACTGCCTCTGTCAGCTGCTTGGACATGTCCTCTGGAGATCTGCCACTGCGTCTCAGCTCATCCATCACAGATTTGCAGATGGCTTTTTTGTGCGTCAGGAAGGCTGGCACAATGTTATTAAAGCGCTTTGGCAACATCTCCAGCCATTGGGGTTTGTCAGCATGCCAGTACCTCTTACAGGCTTTACAGGTGAGCCGTGAAGCCAAAAGATAGTACTGACCACTGGTGCCAATGATTACTCTGGGCCTTTCCCTTGTATTTTCCAAACTGCAGCAGGTACTCTCCCATCACCTCCTGTCGGTCCGAAACATCCCCTCCTCGCTGGAAGACCACAGTGAGAGCATTGGTCTTCACTAGGTCATGTTTCTGAGCAGGAGACTTGTCCTGAAGTGCAGGATTTTGTTTTATCCTCATGGCCTCCGCAGATGGGTCCTGCCGAAGATGGCCCGATGGTCCCTTTCTAAATGACACTGTCACCTTTCCGGGGAAGAAGCTGATGGTCTTCTTCATGATTCCTTTTCACTGCAAAAAACAATGCATATTACATAATACTATACAGTCATAGTAGCTAGTATAAGTTATATTGTAATGTAGTTATATAATAAAAATAAAAAATAATTAAAGCTATATAATAATA